CTTTACATTCCTGGTGTAGATAGTCCAAAAAGCATTCATTGGTATTTGTGGCATGAAAATGTAGGCTTAGCCGGTGTGGAAATGAAGATTAGACAGGTGTCATCATAAGGTGCAAAAAATCTGTACTGGGTAACTAATTTGATTAGCTACATAATTAATAAAATAAATTCTTAAATTAAAACAAAATGTGTCATTTTTTATGATTCTAATACAAAAATAATTGGTGTCACAGACAAAAATCTAGGGTGTGACTTTTCAATAGTATTTTGATGCGTACCAAAACTACTGAAACATTATAAATGATTTGTCAGTATTAGAAAGTGAACTAAGACTCAAACACACAACGCTACCTTTCAATTTAAGTGACTATTACCACAAAATTTATATCAACGGAGATTCACATTTGCAACTTATAATATTATCAATTACGTAGAAATTCTTTAAAAAACAAACTCAAGAAGTTTTTATTAAAATAGATTTAATTTAGAGATCATTGAAGGTGTTAAAATTATTAATTAGAAATTAGAGTTTAAATATGAAAAATCTGTTTTTAATAAATAATGCTGAGCAATGTGTTTTGAAAAAAAAATATAATTTTAAGTGGCAAATACTACATGAAAACATACTATAAAAAGTTTATATATGTCAATAATTATCTTTTAGATTAAATTATATCCATCTTTGAATAAAAACCACAGTTCATTTTCATCACAAAGAAAAATTATAATAGTCACACTATATTTCTCTGTACATATTACTGAATAAAAATGAATTTTTACTTTGCTAAATTATTAAAAAAATACATAGCTTGAAATTTTCTGTTTCTAGCAAAAGCTTACGCTGTGTTACTCGAAATCGATGTAAATTTTTTTCTTTAGTAAAGTTAGGAATATAAGAAACAAAAATGGCCTTTAAAAAATTCATAGAACTTTTATTCCACTGTAATCCATAGATCAGTTATAATCAATGTGGCACCTGTGAAATTTTTATGCATCCCCACTATATTATACATACTGATCCCATTAACCATATCGACACTACAATATAATCGTGTAAAAGCATCGTCAACAAATAGCAATTAAGAAGGTTAACACATTTTCCACTTAACATCTTAGAAGATTCTCGCTACTGGTGGGACCAGAATTATATTCACCTTGTCAATATGGTGCGTACGAAACCTAAAATGAAAATCCCGTACAATCGAAGGCTCTGATACACCATGGCGCTCTCGTCGGTAAAACTGTACCCACTGAACATCTCTTGACTTGGTGACGATTCACTTTGTATATCAGTTCTGCAGGCTTTTTTTTTCTAGTAATTTTTCTATATAATTCAATAAATCGAAATATATCTTTGTTTATAAAGCAAGAGATTTGCATATTTGTGTGTCTTATAATTTGCAAAATGCAATATTTTTGTGCAAATAATAACAGAGGGAAGACTGTTTATACAAAAGAAAGAGAAGAACAGTATACTAAAAAATTAATACATATGAAGCTATCATATTTTAATAATATAACGCGTTTTACTTTTAATTAGAAAATACTAAACTGTCTTGATGGTCTTTCAAGTATTGAAGTCGAGCAGAAATTGCTCTTCCACTACCACCATTGCTGGAAACATTTTTATTTGTTTGTAAACCTTTTATGGCCGCTGAGTAACACTCCTATTGACAGCAGTTTCCAAAGGATTCAAATCTTTTTTTATAAGACGGCAAATTCGTTATTTAAGGGAAATGTCTTGACTTGGTACTTTAAGATGTTCGCTCGCTAATGGTGCTTTTATCTAAATTTATCCAAATGTTTTTTAAGGGAGGTATGTAACATCAGTAAAATCATTGAAGTTCTTCACACTTTTATCACGAAATCGAGCATCAATTAGCGAATGATATATTCATCTGGGATTCCCCACCTGAGTATCTGCTTAATACTGTTCATAACATTGTTCGTATAGATAATTAGAAACACATAGTAATGATTCAGCATCATTGCCTTCCTCTTCACCATCATCCTAATCGTCTTCGTTGGCATTCCTCATCAAAATTATCATTTTCGACTGTATGAAATGCTTAACCGTACATAGCCCAAATATCTACACATTCCAAAAATTGGTTGTTATCAAATCTGACGATCTACGTAGTCACTTAAAATGTAATTGATACTAATTAACATTACTTCATCGAAGATCTCGATAAGAGATAAGGTCTCCAGTTAATGGCTTAGCTGGAAATTGCACCATCAGAATATAATAATTGCTGTAGACATGAATTTATTTCTCATTAAGATGACACTACATAGTTGATCAAAAGAGCTAAACGATTCTCTGTCCAAGTTACCATCAATTATTTGGATAAAGGGTCTGAAAATGAAAGAATTCGTGAAATCGCACCAAACTGTCGCCTTTGGAGAATAGTTGCTCATTTACTCTCATAAATTAAACACTGTCACTGAACCCCGTTAAGGTTTTTCGTTAATGATTCTTTTTATCGCTTGTTTCTTCAAATTATTAGAAGAACTTTAATAGCACTATAAGTGTTAAAAAACTATCAATTTGTCACATTTTTTTGTAATAAGAATTTATGTTACTTCTTCTGATTCTTCTCTGCTGAAGTTTCATCAGACAAGTTATACATAACTATCAATCTTGTATCAAAGTAAAATCTTGTATCTCAATCAAAGAAATTGATTTCCGGTAGATGGCGTTAGTAACATCTGGTTAACTAACGCCATCTACCGGAAATCAATTTCTTCTTTGGTCAGTATTATGGAAAAGCATTCGTTGTCGCTTTTCCATTTAAGAAAATAATCAGCATTAATCACTCAATAACTTGTCCTACACCTACTTCATGATAATAGTAAAAAGCATTCATCGATTATTTAATAATTAATTCTTTTATAATCATCGCCATTTCTGCACTTAAGAAGAAGTATTCGCTTTAACGTCCTGTGTTTGCAAATGTTTTAATAAAAGATTTTTTTAATGATAAAAATTGTTTCTTTCATCCTGAAAATATTTCTAATGCAGACTGCACTCATGCATTTTTATTTTTCCATTTTTAAATGAAAATTTAGTTTATAAGGACTTTCTGCCTATACTATGTATAGCAATTTAGAGCGAGCAAATGCCAATACAACGTTTTCAGCAGACATTAATGAAAGATTGTCAATCAGAAAGCAGCTACGAAACTGTGGAGAATCTTATCCGTAGCGCATCCCAAGATAATTTTAAACAGTCATTTTACTTAAGTGCAAATGAACTTTGAAGTAATTGAACTAAATTTCAAATGGAACCTTTTATATCAATTCAATAAAATATTCTGAAAGTAAACGGAATATTTCTAAGTCAGTAGGCTTAGAAGTGTTTCTTTTACTTTCATTCTTTAGTGTTTCAAGTGTTTCTTTTGCTTTCATTTTTTCTTTTCAATTCTTTTATACAGATTTTATTTATGTATATCAAGATTTCTTAAACATATTTATCACAAGAATTCCTTTTACAGTTAAGTGAAGGTTACGGACATTTTCAAATAATTATAATTTTAAATGAATAAAATAAATTACAAAATAAAGTATTTATAAAAAAAATCTGTGTATTACACAGGTAATATTTCAATATTTGGGCCTGAATGGCCAACTGGCCAGCGCGCTGGCCCTCGGTACCACAGGTTTCGGGTTCGAGTCCCGGCGGTGCCATGGATGTTTGTAGTGGTTCGGAATCCACTTGAAACTGTAGGTCCCGGTCCTAATAGGACCGTAGTGCGTTGCGGGGGCATTGTTACTCCGCGTCCGTGGCTTATCTTCAAGTTACACGTTGGGTAATACAAAGTGAGTACGTCTGTGCAGCACTTGCCTTAAGGCATCTAAGACCAAGCTGTCTGTGTTTGCCAGCTGCATTAGAGAGAAAAAAAAAATTTCAATATGTGTATTAGACAGGCAGAAAAATATTCCACTTCATTATTTGTATTTGGATGATAGAGCTATTTTAATTAGAGTGACACATTATTTTATTATTAGCATAACTCATTAAAATGAATGTAAATTTTATATATTTTCTGATTTAATTATGTTGGTATTTGCAAATTTTTCTTTTTAACTTCTTCGTTGGTTGAGATGTCCTCGTCTAAACTTTGAATTTTTCTTATTTAAATAATATAACGGTTTTTTTTCTTACTATTCTTTTGCTGACTTACACATTCTGAATAATTATTGAGTTCCTTTTCGTTTACTGCTTATCATTAAAAAAATTCTTTTCTTAACAAATTACAAAATACGAGCATATCATTTTATAATGATTAATTTACCTGAAATAAAGTTTTTTTTACCCCAAGGATGCGTTTTCTAAATGCAATTAATAGTATACAATTTACTCATACTATTGATGCTATTTTATACTAAATTGCATCTCTGTAATAAAGTGAGAGTTAATTTTTAACAAATGCGATAATTTTCTTAATTAATAAGATAATTTTTCGTATACACAAACGATCTCAATTACCAATATAATGCAACATAACATTTCGTGGATGAAACATTATATAATATTTTTATGTTCTAGTGGATTATTATTTTATCAAAAGAATGCAATAGATGGCGCTAGTTTTCGTTACCGAAGTGTACTTACTGAACCGAAAATGAGGAAAGAGATGGGAAATGTGCTAGTTGTTAAAGAGAAAACATGCAAAGGAAGGTTTTAACAAAGACGGAGACATAATTTTAATGATTCTTACATTGTTACGTATGTGTATATATAACTGTAAATAAATTTTATTTGTAATAAATAAAAAAAAAAAGTTGCCTCTAAAAGATCCATCCTTACATATATATCAGTTCATTTCTGACTTAAAAGTGTTTCGTTTACTTTCAGAACATTTTACTTATGTATATCAGAATTTCTTAAACATTTCTTAACATAACAAGATAAATATACAGATAAGTATACTGCATAATTACATACCATATTGTATTATAACATATATATATATATATATATATGCTGAATATATTCGTTAGATCACCGAAGTCAAGCATTATTGGCCGCGGTCAGTACTTGGGTGGGTGACCACCTGGGAACACCGCGTGCCGTTGGCATTCACAAATTTGGGACCTGAATGGCCGAGTGTCTAGCGCTCGGTGCCACAGGTTTCGGGTTCGAATCCCGGCGGTGCCATGGATGTTTGTAGTGGTTCGAAATCCACTTTAAGCCGTAGGTCCCGGTCTCTTATGACTGTAAGAGCGTCACGGAGCCAAAGTCAGACTTCTACCTACGGGTGCTCCATCACAACAGAAGTTGCTTCCTTCCCCTTCAATCATGAGTACGAATGGGCTCGTGGGCTTGGACAGCCAAGTGGGATAAGAAACAACAAACATATATATATATATACTGAACAGATAAATATACAGATATATACATGTTACGGTCATCTACAGATAGTTATAATTTTAAATGAATAAAATAAATTACAAAATAAAGTATTTATTAAAAAAGATAGATTAGAAAAAACTTAAAAAAAACTCGAATAGGTAGATGGAAGACACCCAAAAAAATACTCGACTTCATCGTCTATAACTGGATGATAGAGCTATTTTGTAATATATATAAGTAAATTGAGTATTTGCAAATTAAATGACACAGCTCACATGTAACTTCCAAACTACTTGTATTATGCCATAATTTTGAGGATAAATGATTTTTTATACAGATCAACGGTGTTGTAACTGGTAATTATCCTGTTGTGTGAGGGTAAGAGGTATTTCCTTTATTTTTTGTATGAATCCAGGAATGGTAGATAACCCATCCCGGTCACACGGTCAGGTCCAAAAGAACCGGTCGGTTTGGTGGGATCCAGCCCTTTTTTGGAGTTTTTGCGGGCAGAAAGGAAGACCCGTTGAAAGCACAGCGAACGATCTACGATAGTGCGTGAGCCTGGTGCACAATTTTTGCCGCGAGAATGGCTCCAGGGATAATTTGTAATGGAGAGTTATGTCCATCTTTGGAATTGTCGGTGAGCATTTTTTTTGGGTAAAAAGGATATGAGGCTACTGGTACCCCACTGCCCACACACTCAAAGGAATATTTTCGATTGAGGTATGCGTGCGAAATATTATGAATACTTCTCTGTAAACATTTCTCTATAAACATTCTCTATAAAACTTTTTTTATTTTATTTATTCTGCCAAATATTAAAAATCCTAAATTTTATTGTAATAGTATTTATTCGTATTCATTAAAGGGTAAAAGAAGTAAATTAGTTGTTTGTCCTAGTATTTATTTTAATTGCTTTTTATTAATGTTAATTCATTTGGCCGTCCTACGAGTATACGTAGACCAACGGCCCCATTTCTATGTCGGTATATTAACAAACGGCTTTGTGGAATGAAAACATGAGTTAATTTTAGGCCTGGTATGCTGTAATACTTCATATAAAAAATCCTGACTGAATTTGGGGGTTAGTGAACATAAACAGATTTCACCTTAAGCTCTTTTCTCTTCTCCATAATAAAAAGACTAATTTTCTAATTTCATTAATAATAATTATTTAATATCATTATGTATAGATGTTTAATTTAAAATAAAAATATAACAATAAATTAACAAAGAATTCCATACGTAATATTACATCGATTTAATATGTTTTATATAATTATTTATTTTTTTATTATGTTCGATTTTCGTGACAAAACGCAAAAGTATGTAATCAAAATGGTTTCTATTTGTGGATTCTTTTAATATTCATATTTTAGAATATGTGTTGAAAAATCTGTGTTACTTAACTGGCCTTGCAATCCTATAAAATCCTATAAAATAAAAATAAATTCTTTAAAATATATTTGTTAAAGATCGAAGTTATTGACAGCACACTGAGTTAAAGTTTTTAGTTTAGAACAGGGGTCTCCAAACTTTCCAGCCTTAGGGCCATACTGTTTACTACAATAAGTGCCAAGGGCCAAAATCGTTTTAATTTTTCCATCATTATCTATAATTTCTAGACTAGTCGCCGAGTATGCGCTCTGAGCGAGCATACGCTTGCTAAATTCGCTGGTCCAATTATTACAATGACTATTGTGTGTATCGATACAACCGTGACACTTGACGACATCTAGTGGTCAAAAGCTTAAATAGGTAGGTAATATCCTTTATCGCTAACATATGGCGCTAGTAGTATCGAAAGCGCAGTAACAATTAAACATTCGTGAATAATCTCATTGGTTCGAGAAAGTTCTGGTGCATTCCACTCACTTCGAGATCGCAGTAATTGGAGTATTACACCGATCCCTGTATTTTTTATTCAACTTATTACAGCAACAATAAGCTATTCGCTGTCGCGGGCCGGATTGATGGCACTGGTGGGCCGTAGTTTGGAGATCCCTGGTTTAGAAGGTAATAAAAAATGGGTTACCGTATCTGAGCATGTGAGTTATTGATAAATGCTCAATGTTTTAGTTTGCAAAAATTATTAACATTAAATCAATATTTTTCTGATATTTAAATGTCTACTGTTCCAGCAAACTAGTTCTGTAACTTGTTGCATAATTTAATCATTAATAACAATCTTAAATATTTCACAAAAGAATTACCTCAATTGATTTAAGTGAGATTGACATATAATCAAGTGGACTGCAATAGAAGCAATGACGAGAAGCAAAATATTAACGGAATAAATTATCTTAAATAAATAAGAAATTGGCCTGTATATTATCATAATAAATTGACCTGTAAAAAATTAAATGTGTCTAAATTGTCCATTGTATAATCTATGTTTTTTATACTATGTGTGTATAATAAAAAAGCTTTATTTATTTTGATAAACGAAAATTTTTTTCAGACGTATTTCAAGAGAGCCTGGTAATAAAATATATTCCAGGCATATTCCATATTGAAGGATATGAAATAACGTAATCTTCAATACATTAAGATATTGTGATATCAAAAATTTAACATTGACATGGATGGCCTGTTTGATGGAATAAATTAATTGGACAAATTTATTCCGAATTGAATAGTTTAAAATTTCATGTAATTAATAATCATTTAAATGATTAATTTTCATGTAATTAATAATCATTTTTTCTAATGCTTGATTTTTTAAGAAAAAAAAATGATGAAATACCAAGATCTTTAAAAAAAAATTTTTGCATAATTTACTTTTGCCCGAAAAAAAAATTGATGCAAAAATGCCTTTTTAAAAAACTCTTTCTCCATACTATAATCAGGTTTTCAAAATTTATATTGTGTAAAATATAAAAAAAACAAAAATAGACTGATAAAATTTTATTTGGACTGTTAAAGACATAATAGATTTTAAGTAATCTTCTTTTAAATCTTTCAGCTTTGCTAATCAAAAAATTACAGTGATACAGTATAAATTATACAATTTTCCATCTTATGAAGGCCTTGGTCTAATCTTCATTTCCACATGAGCCAAGCCTTCATTTTTGTGCCACAAATACCAATGAATGCTTCTTGGATCATCTATGCCAGGTATGTAAATTCCATTCAAGTGAACATAAGCCCATTCGTATATCCACCAAGCTCCCTGTAACACTGAAGCTCCCCTCAGATGATCCCTGTCTATTGTTGCAAATCTTTGACCGTCATGGAACTTCATGCCATCTCCTATTACATGAAAATATATTATGCATTTATTTATAAGAAAGTGAGAATTTCAAAATAATGCCACAAAATTCTAATATTTCGCTTATTCTTTGAAAACAGCCATTATATTGTTGTTGTTGTTTCTTATCCCACTTGGCTGGCCAAGCCCACGAGCCCATACGTACTCATGATTAAAAGGGAAGGAAACAGCTTCTGTTTGTGATGAAGCACCCGTAGGTTGAAGTCTGACTTTGGCTCCGTGACGCTCTTACAGTCATAGGAGACTGGGACCTACGGCTTAAAGTGAATTCCGAACAACTACAAACATTCATGGCACCGCCGGGATTCGAACCCGAAATCTGTGGCACCGAGCGCCAGAGCGCTAGACACTCGGCCATTCAGGCCCCAAATTTGTGAATGCCAACGGTCCAGGTGGTCACCCACCCAAGTACTGACCGCGCCCAATGATGCTTGACTTCGGTGATCTAACGAGAACCGAGCCTTATATTACTTTAAATAAATAGTTTTTTTTATTCTAAGCTCACCCTATGACGCCGAGCTTCACAGTAACGTGCAATAATGTCATCAGGCACATCGATAAGTTCAGTGCTGTTCCCCAGATAATCGCCGTCCATATTGGAGATCTGACACAATGGGTAGATCCCATCTGAAGCCAAATCAACGTATTGGAGGTGTGCCTGTAGGTGATCACGGCCTGTTGTAAGGCGGAAGCATTCAGCAGCCTCAGCGCGCTCCAGGTGCATAGGAATACGGCCCTCTGTGGCAAGGCATTCCAACCTTTTGTGTCAGTCCAAGTCCTTGAGGCATTTGCTGGTGATGTCTACGGTCATATGGTCGCACTATGTCCTGAGTGTCTGTGGAAACTCCGCTGGTGGGACACTTCGCCATAACATCGGCTCTCTCATTACCAGGGACTCCCACCCATTGCAAATGTAGAGCCCAGCCGCTGGTGAACAGTTCCACCAGCTTTGGGAGGCACTGGACTATGCGCGGGCTGTTGCTACTTAAGGCTCCTTTCCACCGAGGCAACAGGCGGAGAGAAAAATCTTTCGACCCCTTCACAGCGAAAGGTCAGAAATAACATTAAGCCCAGTGAAGTTCCGCTTCGAGTTGAAAGTGGGTCAACTCGAAGCGATGCATTTCAAACCGGTTTTAGGCGAACGTGGTGAGGTTAGTGATTGGTCAAATCGTGTCGCCTCGGTGGGTCGAAATGGCCGCCTGGGAATCGATGAAGAAAACAAGCCTTCTCGGGGGTAGATCAAGAGCCAGTAGTTGTTTAGCAGTCTCCTGGACCACAAGTGCATAGGAAAATGACCCCCTGTGACAGGGTATTTCCACCCTTTATTGCCGCCCAAGTCCTTGAGGCGTTTGCTGGTGATGGCTGCAGTGATATGGTTTCACCGTGTCCTGAGTGTCAATAAAGTAAACCCGGCCAGCCCGAAGGCATACGGAATCTGAATAACCAAGTCGCCATCACAGAATTCTCCCCGGCTAAAGATGGTACCACCGTATCGGCTCCCAGGATATTGTAACTGCAACAATGCAGCATCCCCACCAGTATTTGGCTGCCCTCAACTGGGCTTGCTATACCCCCCAAGGGACAGCGTACATGTCATAGAGCGTGACGTGGAACCCGCATAAAGCGAGCGTCCCCACAGCTGATGGTGGACCTCTTGGCCGTCTTAAGTGGCATTACCACGAGGAGGTGGATTCACATCGACCCCGTGTCTTGAGTGTCAGTGGAAACTCCCGGCTGGTTGGATTTCACCCCGCACTTCATATTCCCCGTCATAGTTGTTTTTTTTTACCACGGCCATAAAGTTCTCAAAGAGATTGCAGTATCATCGGCCACCGGTTTCTTTCACCTCAGGCACCTCAAAATAATCATAATTTCATCTTCTTATTTCTTCCTACTACCTTCTTCTATTCTTCCTTCATTTATCTTCATCTTCAATCTTTCATTCTTTATTCATTTTTCCTAGAGTCCTTCCGCTTTGGAAAAAAGTATTATTAATCCAATAGAAAATAATTACCTGCATTTCCACCGTAACCTTTAATGTGCAACGTATAATTGCGAGATTCATCATCGATACGGAAATGTTTGTAAACTGCAAATCGACGCTCTCCTTTGTGATCTTCCAGATCAAAACGTATTTCGCATGGTTCTTGGTTGGTCATTGTATATATGTTATCGTTACCTAATAAAGAAAGATTAAAATTTTATTTTATTATAAGACGAATTATGCAACATTTAAGAAACATCTCTAGATATTTTAAACTTTCATACCTAACCAGAATTGCTTTTCGAGGTTTCCAAATCCTCTTTTGTAGAAACTCCAACCGAGATTAAAATATTTCATCCCTGGATAATAGGCTCTTCTTTGAATTACCTAAAATAATAATAAAATAAAACATTATATTGCAGTTGTGATAACAGTTATTTTTTTATGAAAATAGCAATAACAATCTATTTTTTTTTTTTTTTTGGATTTTTCATTATTAGGTTTTGTTGTTTTGTTTTGTTATATATGAAGTACCTTTACTTCCTATTAATAAGTCATTCCCATGAATTTGCCATCCAAATATTCAAGACAGCTGGAAAATCTTTAACACTAGACCATGTTAAGAGGCTGTTACCAACTTTCGATTAAGAACCAGACACGACGAACACCTTAAAGGCTCGTGCTCTTGCAAGGCGACAAGATGCAAGCCAAAATTTGACCTCACCGCGGTCGCCGAAACCGGTTTGTTCGCTCGCCTTTCGAACAAGCGGTTTTTCACCAATATGCTATTTCTGAGCTGGAACAATCGAAAAATTTGGTCAGAACTCTTTTGAAATCTCGCCTCGGTGGGAAGGACTGAACAGGGTAGGGTCCTCGGAACACTCTGAGCTGGAACAATTTCAGAACATCTTTTGAAATCTCCAGGACTTTTTGTTTTTGCTATTTAGTCCTGATGATAATCAAATATTCACCGAAAATTCAACAAATACCGATATTATCATTTAATGCAACCGTGGCGTGGCGGCTAATTGGCTAACAGTCTGGTCTTCGGTACCACAGGCTAACGATTCGAATCTTGGCAGCGGCCTGAATGCTTGTTTGTGGTTCATAATCCCCGTTAAATTGTCGGTCCTCGTCTAATTAGTCCAAAGTGTACCGAAAAAAAAAAAAAAACCTTTAGAGCAGCAAACTAAATGGAAAAATTAAAAAGTTGAATACATCAAAAACAATTAAAAGGAGGTTTGTTTAACATTTGTTGTACAGAAAAAATTGTCATAATATTATTTCTGTTTACAATAAAAATTGTTAATTTTCCTTCTTAAACTCTTTTTTTAATTAAATTTCCAATTTTAATTACATTCGGAAAAGTACTTCAATACCATTAAATAGTCTTTGCACCAAGAACTTTCTCAGCGTAATTAGGGAGATTATCAGCATTATCTATTTACTACTCAAAATCATTACACACTTGTGGTGTTATGATTTTGCAATGATTATGCAATGGTGTCACTTTTTTCCCTACATAGATAGCAGTAAAATGTATTTCCGTTAAAAAATAAGTCCATGTGTTGAAAACTAAAACCTAACTTACTGTCCATCCACCTCCGTCTGTATCCATATCGCAGTACACATTCAAAGGTTCATCGGGTTTAGGATAAATGGTGTAGACGCCACTCTTGGTGTACTTACTCCCCAAAATCTCAGTGCAATTTTTGGGTCTATCGCCGGCAGCGATAGATTCAGCATTTAAAGGTACAACATCGGAATTCAAAGACAGAAGATCATCATCTATGCTGGGTTCAATGGGATGTATAGGTTCTATAAACAGCAATTGAAAATGTTGTTAACTATTTTATTATTAAATATGTTTAAAAAATTGCTAGATTTTGAGCTAATGACACCACCATATTACACTTTCGTTGGAGCAATTTAGATTAGATTCTATATGAATTTTATGTAACACTGAATTGTAATTGGTTTTAATTATAAAGTATACATAAAATTTAAAGATAATACATTTATTTTAAATTTATTTTGACTTGTTTTATTCCATTTATTGAATATTTATATTTGTAAAGCATATCTATTATTCACTAAGCAGGCTATTTCACTATTATTAAGATAATTATGTATTTTGCATTTATTAAGAGAATTGTTTATTCAAGCAATATCATCCACAATCTGTGTCAATTTCACTTAAAAGTAATTTCCAGTTCTACGCTTTTTTAATTAGTTTTAAGTTTATTAAAATCAAGAAAAATGTTGTTTTTTTTAAATTCTCCGTTAAGGCATAAAAAAATGAAAAAACATAGTTGATTATAATGATTACAATAAATGAATTTAGAAGTGAAATGATTTGCAATGCAGATATTTAATAGAAATACCAATTTTAAACACAACATTTAACATTAAACATTTCTTATGTCTTATTCACTCCCAAAGTGTCTGTCTTTTTAACATTTTTAATTAATTTTTTAATTATTTTTTATAACATTAGTCAAAATCTTTAATTTCTCAAATTTATCGAAATTTAGAAAGATTCAAACATGCAATTTAATATAATTATTCTTTATACAATTCAAATTAATCTAATTTAAAAATAAGTACTTTGTATAATTATTTAATTTTTCTCTTTCATACAAATTTCTTATTAATCACTGTAGTGTGCAGGTTGGGCAACCAGATTGTAACTGGGTGTGGTTGAATTGAGGTACTTGAAGCACATGTTTGAGATCTCACAGCTTTATTTAAACACGCACAAACACCACACACATACAATGAGTGACATGCAATATTAACATATTTAAAAACAGATAATTATTTATTAGTGGTAGAATTCTAAGCCAAAAACCCGATACTCAGCCACTCGTGGGCTGCACGAAAGATACTTTCTCTCCGGATGAGAGTCTGTAGGCCAACTAATGCGGTGGGGTGCGCTGAATATATTTCCTCTCGGGTGAGAGTCACGATGGCGACTGACTATTTCTCCTGAACGACAAAGAAGGGAGGGGGCGCTCTTGCCAGTGTGTAGGAGATAGCACGTTTACATAACAAGAATTTACCAGAGCTGATGCAATAACTGAGAAATATTTTTAATGTGATTCATTCCTATTTTAATTTAATATTTATTTTATTTATATTTTTTATTAACATTATATATATATATATATATTTCATTCTAATCATTAACATTTCTGTGTAAATATTGTAATATTATTGTATATTTAGTTATACTAAAAGTATAAAAGTTTTACTGGTTGATATAACAGAAAGTGTGCATTATGGAGTAATACATTTTTACACATGAAAGAATCGTATCAATTTAATTCGAAAAACTTTTCATTAAAGATCAATGCCTGTATAAGTAAATACTTTTGTTTATTTTATCCCTGTAATTTCTGGCTCTCCTAATTGCTATTGATATAAAAAGAGTAAAATGTGAACAAGGACAAGAAACATTAAATATTTTTGTTA